GACAAAGAATCTATATCCCCACTCAAGCCTGAGTTAGTTGGGTGGAGTAGCAATACCCAGAAGAAGGTGAATGTTAATCCTATTTTCCATCAACCCTGTGCTTGAGAGACTGGACAAGGAAATAGGACAGGGAAAAAAAAAAGCTGGGGTTTCCCCAATTTTAATAATGTCTATTAATATGAGAAAGAAATAATTATTTCTCTCACTACCAAAAAGCAAAAAAGTGAGGCAGGTCTTATTCACCAAGTACTGCCCTGTTGCACTGAGCCTGCCTGTTGAGGGCAACCTGTTGAACTACAAATCTGGGGGTTGGGGTGGGGCAGGGTGTGGGTTTGCTGGGAGGAGAGGGGAATTTTGCCAATGTGGCTACTCTGAATGTCTGGGTCTGAATTAGGTTAAAATCACTCCGGGGGGGTCAACTTTACCATAGCCACGGGAGACCAATTGTGGGAAAGGTGAATTTGGGGAGCATTGAATTACAAGAGGTGAAGGAGGGTATAGTTGTGTTGGAGACAAATGGATAATTACGTCTCATGAGGAGGGTCGCATGTTGCCACCTAGCTCTTGGAGTCATGTCACAACCTCTACTCAATGGACAATTCTATTAGGACACATACCAGTCAGAGTTTTGGACCCTCAACAGCTCTGCAATAAAACTGAATTTCCCAAAGAAACATCTCAGTTATTTTTGAACATCTGTCCTGGAGTCAGACCATCTGAATTTGAGTCCTGGATGATACCAGTTGTGTTTAGAGAACCTCGGACTCTTTATCTCTAAAATGAGGGAAGTGGCACCAGATGCTCATTAAGTTTCTCTAGACTACTGGACACCTTTTTCAGAGAGCCATCAGGGAGACCAGAAACTTGACATCTAAGAATGGACCCGAGTGGGAGTAAATGGAGAAGCTTGTACCCCAAACAACCTTCCCCCAGGGAACCACTAACAGGAGCCTTGGGCAGAGGCACACTGTAGTTATGCCTCATATCAATCATCCTCTGATCTGAATTGCCTCCCCCAAAGATAGCTGAAAACCCCAGAGAACTGACTTTCAATCTAATAGTTTTCATTATCTTGACAGAGCCTTCTGTGTGTGATCACAGAAGCACGGAACATTAGAAATGGAAGCAGCCTTAGAAATCATTCTAGTCCAACCCACTCATTTTAGTCTGTGTGTGTGTGTGTGTGTGTGTGTGTGTGTGTGTGTGTGTGTGTGTGTGTTGTCTTTGCCCTTAAGAACAGACAGATCTCATAATGCAGGCAGGAATGCCGCCTTTGAGGCATGCCCCATGAGGAGATCTATGTCAGAGGTACATTGCTGAGGTTAGTGAAGCTTGTGGATTTGGGTTTCTTTGCTGGATGGACAGAGAAGCCCGTGGTGTAATGGTGTTGCTCATGAGCTGCCTGGTTAGTGATCTCACCAGCAGTGTAAGCAGTGGCTTTCCTCGCTGTCTGCCCTGAAGTCAGCCCACCCTTCCGATGATGAGTCAGCTCTGGAATATCATTTAATCTTGCCAGGCTCAGATGAGGCAGCCTGAGATTCGCAGCCCTGGAATGGATTTGCAGAGGGAAACATGCTTTCCCAGGCTCCATATTTCCTCTTACATCTCACTGTTAATCATACTGGAAGACAGCTGCCATTGTCTCTTTAATTCATATGGGATTCGCTGCATTGTTATAAGCCTTCTCACTAAACCCTCGACGATGTCAACCCTGGCAAGGAAAGGCTTGCCCTATTATCTTGAATGGGAAATGCTAGCAGATAGCATCTTTAGGAGATTTCACTGAATTAACCTCCTTGTCTCTCACAAATTCCAGTAGAATTAGTCAGCTTTCATGGGTAGAACTTCATCACACTTTCCTTTTCTTCATTGAAACATCCATTAGCTTCTCCATATTTAACTACTCCCCTTTCCCTTTCTGTGTCCCTGTCTCTGTCTGTCCTCTGCTCTCATTATCCCTGTCATCCGTGTTTCAGGGTTTTTTTGTCTTTCTTTGTCTCTTTCTGTTCCAGTATCCTTTATCTCTCTGATGCCCTCCCTCCATCCTTGCCTTTGGGTTTTTTTTTTTTTTAGTTTTAGAGGGCTAATGGTTCTTTAACCAAAGAAGGGGCATGTGGAATTTTAACAAATCTTCAATATCAGAGTATTGGGGGGAGGAGAAAGGATAATTATTTTACTGATCATATTTCTCTACTCAAAAACTTTCAATGACTTCTAATTGTCCAAGTAAGTTGTTTCCAAACCAGAGGCAAGAGTCCCCTGGGGGGTCTGACTCCAAAAGGTATATGACCACCTTCTCTCTCTCTCTCTCTCTCTCTCTCTCTCTCTCTCTCTCTCTCTCTCTCTCTCTCTCTCTCTCTCTCTCTCTCTCTTTTATGCAATTGAGGTTGTGACTTGCCCAAGGTCACACAGCTAGTAAGTGTCAAGTGTTTGGTCCAAGTCCGGATTTGAACTCAGCTCTTCCTGACTTCAGGGCCGGTGCTCTATTTATCCACTGTGCCACCTAGCTGCCCCCCACTTTCTCTTCAAAAGCACATTTTGGGGCTTGTCTCCAGCACAACTGCACCTATATGATATCCCTCAACATTCTACCTGCCACTTCTTATGGAAACTTTTTCAAACTTCAAAATCCCCCTTTTGAACCAGGGATATTTAAATCTGTCTCTTATCCAGGCACTTAAAAGGGTAATGCACAGATGCCATTGGGAAGCTTCCGCCCCTAAACTCTTATCCTCCAGATCCCCTTGTAGATGTAGTAGGTACTCCTTGGAGGACCCGCTCTGCATTTGGGGGTTGGTGATCATTATAAAAGTGCCTCCACTCTTTTCAGAATGAGTTACATGGAATCTGGGTTTCTAGTCAAACCTGGGATTCTCTTGACTGAAGGTGATGCAATGAGAGGAATAACTACAGAAGGGGAGGAGTTGGTGTGACAGTTTTGGACAGAGAAAACATTTTTCTTTTTCTTTTCTTCTTTTCTTTCTTTCTTTCTTTTTTCCGTCCTTTTCTTCTTCTTTCTTTTTTTTTTCTCTTTTTCTTACTTCTGAGAGAGGATACATGTGTAGTTTCAGACTTACTCTAGGATCAACACCAGACACATGGAGAGAGAGGAGAGGGAGAATAAGAGAGAGAGAGAGACAGACAGACAGAGACAGAGAGACACAGAAAGAGACAGACACAGAGAGAAAGGCTTTGGAAGTTATAGATGGGATAGAGCTGACTTCTCAACATGTCAATGATTTCCAACTAGGAGGCATCTCAGAATTTCCACTTGTGTCAGATTGGGATCTCACTCTCTTGGTTTGAACTAAGATGTCTTATTTCCAATGAGAGAATTTATTCATCCTGTGAATACTCTCACACATTTTAATCTGTATAACTTCTTTTTCTGTTTACTGTTTGCTTGCATGAGTGTGGGTTCACTATTTGTGATGATCTTTTGTGTGACTAGAATTTAGTGGGAAGGTATAAAATTAGAAGGTATAAGCTAAGAGTTACCCTCCCCACCTCAAGGGATAGAAACTACAGAGGCTAGCAACTTTTGAACTTGTTACATGCTCGGATCAGAGGCTCGTGGGTTTGAGGTTGTGCACTCAGCCAAACAGCCTACCATTCCTACCAACCTACCAAAAAGCACACAGAACACATACAAAGAGAAAGGCCTGGATTTATCCATCTGATTTCTATACTGGGAGCCTACAAGGGAAGGGATTATTTCTTTCTTTTGGAGGTCCTCTTCATTTAGCTATATCATCATGGGGAAGCTAAAAAAGCTTGAGCTGGGCTGGGTTCAGTAACAGTATAGAGAGGGGAAGTGAAGAGTCTGGCTCCTGGGAGAGGACAGCATGAAGGTCCCCTGTATTACTGAGGAAGAGCTAGCTGTAGACATGACAGAATTGCTACTAGTGAAGATGTGGGAGCCCCTGGCCATGCTGTTCTTGGGAGGTAGGATTTTTCATAGTTGCATCTTTAAAGTATCATGGTATCAGTCCATCTGTGACACAGGAACATCTCAATGTTTCTTTGTGCCTCACAGGAAGGGAAAATAACAGAAAGCTAATATGATATGGTTGGAAGCATACTGGACTTGGGATAGCTAGGTTCAAATCCCAGCTCTGCCTCTCACTAGCCCTGTGACTACAGGCAAATCATTTGAACCTTTCTGAGCTTCAGTATCCTCATCTGTAAAATGGGCACAATACTTGCTTGTCTCCAGTCAGCCAGTCGATAAGCACTATATAGCCTAATATTCAAGACCCTCTACAATCTGGCATTATCCTACCTTTCCAGTCTTATATTTTATTTTTCTCCTTTAGGAGGGTCTATTCTTCAATCAAACTCATAGCCCAGACCCCTACATACCTCAATATGCCCTGTATTTTCCTACCTCTTTGCCTTATAAACCCGGAATACCCTTCTTCTCCCTTATATGTCCTGTTGAATCCTTTATAGCCCCACTAAAATGTCATCTCCTTCATGAAGCCCAATCCTAATCCTTACCATTGCTAATGATTTCTTGGACCTCATGTAGAACTTTGCTAATACATTTATCATCAGTCAATGAATAGGCATTTAGTAAGTGCCACACAGTGTTTGTTGTTGTTTTTTAGTGTTCTAAGCTCTGAAAATATGAAAACAATAAGTGAAACAATTCTTACTTGCAAGGAGCATTCATTCTTATACTATTGTGTATTATGGTCATATATATTTATAACCCATAGCTTGCCCTCCTTTCCCACCCCCAGGCTCTTGAATCATATGAACTAGATGTGATCTTGTTGCCCGCAACCAGCTTGTACACCGAACGGAGAGGCGTGAAATAACTTATGACATGGGCCAGGCGGAGTAGAATTACTGACTCAGTTTATTCATCTGAGGGCACAGACTATATAGGGAAGATCTAGCCTAACTTCAAAGAGTCCTCCCCGTGAGATACTCCCCAGAACATCTGCTGAGGATGTAACAATCATGAATTTCCTCCTTATCAGGGTTCCTAGATTGGGCTGTAGATTCCAAGGTTTTCCCAGGCACTTAGGCGCCACCTGCATAGAGGAGTAAATACGTAAATCTAAGGTTCAAAGAGAGAGAAGGGATATCTCAGAGACCTCTTTCTCAGGAAGGAATTTGGGGAGCCGTACCACTAAATCCTTGAGCCCTTTGGGGTGAAAGCCTGAGCAGAGGTCAAACTCTGCCTTGTATCTTAAACCCTTATCAGACTCTTAAGATCGGCCCTCAACATGATCTGAACCAAAAGGATTATTTTCTCTTTTGTCTCATTTGTCCCTGCTCAGAATTTACTCTGAGAAAGCTCAGAATGTTTCCTATAACCATAGATACAATTCTTAAAACCATAGCGTGTGTCCCTATAGATAGAAGAAACTCATGAAACATTCACTGTAATTCATAACCTACCCTTAGAAGGGAAGCAAACTTGGAGTTGTTAATGGTGCCAGCTCTGGACATTCTGGTAAAGTCCCACTCTCTGAGTTTCATCCAATGACATCTAGACCCATAGTGCCACCATGTGGTTCAGAGTTCCCATGTAAGAGCCAACATCATCCCTAGACCATACAGATAATTCAAGGTAATAGCTGGAGTTGTTAAAGTCCTGATCTCTTGCTCTCTCCCATGTCATAGCTTTAACCCTATGGCTACTCCTTTCACCATATAACCCTCTTCTTTTCCCAATAGGCATGCTACTTAGGAATGTCCTGTCTCTCTCTAGGAGATGGGTCTACAAACTCTTGAACTTACTTATGAGTCAATCCCCAAGGCCCAAGAAATCTCCCTTCTCTGGCTAGAAGGCTGAAGCCATGGTATCTCATAAATTAAAATTCTCTTCTCCTCTATACAGGAGGTTGAAATATTGTCCATGAACTTCCATCTCTGGCAACGTGGGCAAGCATATGAACTCTTTTGTCATGAGCTTCTGCAGGAACTCTTGGTAATGACCTGACTGTGGCCATCTCTTAGATTGGAAATTGATCCTTCAGTAAGAATTTGTTGAGCAGCAACTATGTGCCAGGAACTGAGCCAGACAACTGAGAATACAAAGACAAAAATACTCCCTGCCCTCAAGTAATGTCCTCTCTCAGGTATTCTCCCCTTGCCTTCCCAGGCTTCATAGGCAAGCAGTTCTGTCTCAGACATGCACCTCTGCCTCAAGGCATCACAGAAGGCTTCTTAGAGGGGTCATGTCCCCTCCTCATTCCTGTACTCTGGTAGAAAGATGCAAAGGAGAAGCTAATAAAAGGCAAAAAGGCTGATGTGATTTTGTGGGCTGGCACAGAAGGATAGCTCTTCCAGCCAGAGCCCCACCTTTGAAGCATCCTGAAAACCCAATCATTTGGAGGCATCCTCAGCCACAAAAGAGTTTGAGTTGTCTTTGTCCTATTAACAAGTTGTCCATGGGTATATCTATATTCTACTGGGGGAGAGGAATGCCCACCAATTTGATTGGGAGTTTCCCTGAATTTCCCTTCAACCCCCCTAATATGCCTTTGTATCTTATTCCTCCTTACTAGACTAAGCTCCATGAAGACAAGACCTTTGTCTTATCTAAAGTTTTCATTTCTCCCAGAGCCTAGCACAGTGATCTACTTGCATTAGCTTCTTCATAAATGTTTCTTGAAATGAAATTGCCCTTCCTATGCCCTCTGTTTCCCCTTCCCTTGGGCCCCATTTGGTGAATGGCCAATCTGGCAACTCATCTAAACTAGGTGGTTCATTATTTGGTAACAGATCTGGCAATGGAAGGAATCTTAGATTCCATCTAGCCCAACCCCTCATTTTACAGATGATGAGAGGTCACCTAGGTGGCAAGCAGCATTACTGGGATTTGAACCACATTGTCTAACTACAAAGCTAGTATTCTTTCCATTGCACATGCTCCCACTGAACCTCTGTTGCTTACCAGTATTCTTAAGGTACATCTCTGGTGAGAAGACTGTCATCCCTATATTTTATTTGTTTTGTTTTGTTTTGTTTTGGCTAGGCAATGGGGTTAAGTGACTTGCCCAGGGTCACACAGCTAGTAAGGGTTTAATGTCTGAGGCTGGATTTTAACTCAGGTCCTTCTGAATTCAGGGCCGGTGCTCTATCCACTGCACCACCTAGCTGCCCCCTCATCCCTATATTTTGAAGTTTGCTCCACATCCCATTTTCCAAGATCTTCCTAATGAGCTGTTTCCTTCCCAATATCTTCTTTTTCCTTCTGAAACCTTTGCCTTTGTTTCTCTGCAACGATGAAACAATAACTATACCCCTAATGTCTTAAGATTCTTGCTCAAGACTTCATAATCTCCAGCCGCACTTTCTAGAGTCCTTATGGTAGTGTTATTTGTGTTCAAGGGAATCAACAGAAATGGGAGGTAGTCATCCAGTTTGCTAAGTCTTAAGAGATTCTCTGTCGCATTCTGGCTACAAGCAGCAAGAAGACAGAAGGTTTTTCTTGCTATTGTGACAAATTGCTACCTCAAGACTTCTCGGCAAAGAATCATTAACCACCACTATTCATTTCTTCTTCATCTCACCCTTCCTGGTTGATCTTTCATCTAATAGCAGCTGTGGATTTATATATCCCTCATGCTTAAAAGCTCACTTGATCTGTCCTTCCTTGCTAGCTAACATCCTATATTTCTCTCTCTTTTTCTTGCTGAAACACCTCAAGTAAGCCAGCTAACAATAAATGCCTCCTCTTCTTTTCCTCTCCCACTTTTTTTTTAAACTCCCAGTAGCCTGGCTTCTGACCTTTATCATTCAACTGAAATTACTTTCTCTAAATTTACTAATGACTTCTTAATAACCAAATCTTTTTTTTCATGTTCTATTGCATTTTTATTTATTTTGTTATATATCTCGCAATTACATTTTCATTTGGTTCAGGACTTACTCTGGAGTGTTGTAGGCTGTGTGGTTTAGACCTCTGTACTTTAATAGCCAAATCTAATGGCCTTTTCTCAATCCTCATCTTTCTCTACCTCTCTGCAGCCTTTGACACTGTTGATCACCCTCTTCTCCTTGATACCTATTTTATCCAGGTGTTCATGACATTATTCTCCCTCATTTTCCTCTCCCTCCAAAGCCTGTACTCTTTCTCTTCAATCACAATGCCTCTGCTCCATCCTTTCTCTCCATTTTACAGAGAAATAAACTAAGTTCCAGAATGGGGAAATTGCTAGCCAAAAGTCATGCAGCTTGAAAGTGGCAGACCTAGGGCTTGAACCCAGGTCCCCTAGTTCCAGTTTCAATGCTTTGTCCCCTGTTTCATGCATCCTCTGAAGACTTTGGAAAAATAGAAGCTTCATTCCTCTGTATGGGCCATTACAGACTTAGATAGTTCAGGAGATAATAGAAACAGAAGGCTGAGAGGGTACAGCAGAAAGACATGACAATGAGATAGCCAAAAGGAGTAGCATAGGTCATAGTTCCTATTGTCTTATTCTTGGGATCAGAGATTTCAGTCATTCAACAAGTATTTATTTGCCAGGCACTGTGCTAAGCACTGGGGGTACAAAGAAAGGCAGGTAAACCCTACATAAACTAGAAAATGAATATCATCGACGGAGTGGTGGAGCCAGTGATTGAATAGCAATCTGTGAGCCACAGAGCCTCAGGGAGTTACCCCCAGAGCACCAGCTGGTGATTGATTTTGGAAGCATATAGCTCCGGCCACAATGCCACCTTCCCCCATCCACAGCATGCATTTTTTTTTTAAATGGAAGAAAGCATTTAATGTGAAAACAAAGGAAAAGAAAAGCTCTAACCCTATATAATCCTGACCTGTGTAACGAGGCTAGGAAGGTGGGAGAATGTGACAGAAGAAAGGGAAGAAGGATCACTAAATTTGGAACCAAGGACCAAGATAAGCCTCTTCCAGTAAGGATCTTAGTTTATTCCTCTGCAAAATGGGGTGAGAAAGGAGGGGCAGAGTGGTTCAAGAGAGAGTGCCAGCTTTGGGGTAGGAGGATGCAGCTACAAATCCTGCTTCTGGACCTTACACTCTGTGTGACCCTGGCCATGTAACTTAACCACTATGGGACTTAGTTTCCTCATCAGTAAAATGAGGGGGTTGGTCTAGATGGTCTCTAAAGTGTTTTTCGGCTCCAAATCTATGACCTTAGATGGTTTCTAAGGTTCATCATTCAGCTCCGAGGACCTGTATGAGACAAAAATTATGAGGATGGAGGGTAGATGAAAAGCTGTTGCAGTACCTCCATCTGCTGGCAACAATTGGAAGTGCGTTGCAAACATGAACGCTGCTGTCAGCATTCAAAGATTTGGGTTAGGATTGTTCTGTGAGGTTTGGATTCAGTCAAAGGGCCGCTTGAGGACCTAGAGGGCCTCGAGGCCACAGGTTCCTCACTCCTGGGAAATCCTGATCAAAGAATCTCAGAGCTGTAAGGAACCTTCACAAGTTAAGCTCCAGCCAGAACAATAAGCTCCTACAGTATACTTGACTAATGACCATCCTGCCTCCAGGTAAAGCCTCTGGGGACTGGGAACTCCCTATGGAGGCCTTCCATTCTATGTCTGAATAGCTGTAACTGTGAGAGAGTTTTTCCTTACATGGAATCGACAATCTGCCCTTCTGTGAAGTTTGCCCAGTGCTTCTTCTTGTCCTGCTCCCAGGTCCCAAGAAAAACCCAACTCTGATTCCTTGAAATATAGGAAGAATGTGATGAGGCCCTCTCAGTCTTTTATTCTTCAGACAAAACATCTCAGTGTGTTTTAAGATTATAGGATTTGGAAGTGAAGGAACCTTGATTTTGTACGTGTCCTGTATGTGCTTATCTGTGAGCATGCTGATATGGACTCCTGAGTCTTCATTCCATCCAAAGTTGCTCTCCAGGACTACAGGATACAATACAGGATGAAAACATAGCCCCAACCTGGAAGGAGAGGAAAAGGGAGTAAGAGAATTCTATGCCTCACATTCTAGAGAAAGCAAGAAAAGAGCAAGAATAGAAGTCTGTCTGTCTTTTTCAAAAATAATTTAATTTTTTTGGTTATACTTTAAGTTCTGAACCTTCTCCTTCCTTCCCTCCCCACCCTGCACTGGAGAAAGGCACTATTTGATTTCAATATTTTTATTGTATTTTATTTGTTTTGTTAAATATTTCCCAATTACGTCTTTTAGAAGGGGACCATTTGGCACAGATTTATAAATATATGTAAAACCATACTACATTATTCTTATCAGTTCTTTCTCTGGAGGTGGATAGCATCTTCCTTCATAGGTCCCTTGTAATTGTTTTGAGTATTTATAATACTCAGAATAACTTGGTCATTCACAATTATTCTTCAACAATACTGCTGTTACTGTATACAATATTCTCTTGGTTCATTTCTGCTCATTTCACTTTTCATTATTTCATACAAGTCTTTACATGTTTTTCTAAAATCAATTGGCTTGTCATTTTCTTATAGAATAATATTATTCTATCATAATCATATACCACAGCTTGTTTAGCCATTCCCCAATTGAGGGGCATCCCCTCAGCCTCCAGTTCTTTGACATCACTGAGAGAGTTGCTAGAAATATTTTAGAACATATAGGTTCTTTTCCTTTTTCCCTGATCACTTTGGGAAACAGACCTAAGAGTAGTATTGGTGGGTCAGTCTTTCTCTTTTAAGTCTCTTCAGTGGGCAGTTAATCCCAACTCAGTGGCCAATCTTCCTGAGCATAGGTATCATTACTGCTACCTTGGGACCAAAGGAACGCTGTGTCATGCTAAAGCAACAAGTCTTTTAGAACTGAACTCCACGTGTGACTAATCAGAAATAGCCCAAGATTAGGGAGGCTCTGTTGATTACCTCTATTACAACAGAATAATAATTGTTATTATGTTGATAGTAACTAGCATTTATCTTTGAACTTTATAACAAACCTGTGAGGAAGGTGCTATTATTACCTCCATTTTATAGTCAAGGAAACTGAGGCAGACAGAGGCTAAGTGCTTTGCCCAGGGACACACAGCTAGTACATTTCTGGGGCAGGGTTTGAACTTGGGTCTGTCCTGACCATGGGCCCAGAGCTCTATTCACTGCACCACCTAGCTGCTTCTGGAATGAACTTCTCACCTCATCTCTACCTCTCAGAATCCTTCTCTTTCTCCAAGGCTCATGTCATATACCACCTTTTATTGATGGTTTCCAGTTGCTGGTTCTCTCTCCTCCCCCAAATTATCTTGTATTTCTTATCTGTGCACATGTTGTATGCCTTCCATAGAAGGTGAACTTTTTGGGGGTGTGGGATGGGGTTAGGGTTGGGTCAGGAGAGGGAGTGCTTCCCTTCTTTTGTCTGGGAATGCATAGCATCCAGCACAGTACCATACAGGGAGTAGATTCAATAAATGTTTCTTGAATTGAAACAAACTGATCTCTTCAGTTCAAGGTCCTTTCGTTTCTAAAATACTCAAGGTTATGAACCATTATGCAAACAGCCATAAGACGTGCTGACCTCACAGGGTTATTTGTTGTAGAGCACATTAAGGTTTACTAAGTATTTTCCTTGCAACAATCCTTTGGCATAGGAAAAGCAGACATTAATAACCCTATTTTGCCACTAAGGACATTGAGACCCAGAGACATTATGTAACTTACCCAGGGCTATACAGTTGGTAAGCATCAGAGCCAGCATTCAAACATCATCTCTCCTGTGGCCAAGTTTATTGCTCTTTCCATTGGACCACTTTGCTTTTTGATCTCTTGCTATGATTCCTGCCCAGTCTCTCCACCCCTAACCCCTTCCCCTGTAGTTCAATGCATGTATATACCTCCTAAATATAGCTAACTGACTCTCTAAGAGGTGCCGGAAGTTTCCAGTCGCTAAGCAACAGTTTCCCTGTTTTCTAGGGCTCCCTGTTGCCATGGCATCCTCTGTAAACACCAGGACTAGTTTCAGTGAGTAGCAATTACCATTGCTCTGGATTTGCCTCTTCTAGAAGAAAAGGGTCCTTGTACCTTAGTATCAATGTCTCACCAGGTTAGAGATGTTGCCAGGATCACCCAGCAGTCACTGATAATTCTGCAGTGGCTTGGTGAGCTCAGTTGAATCATAAAGAAACAAATGTTTCCTCACATTATATGTTACTGGCACAATTAAATTTGCATCACTCTCTTTCTGATTCTGTTGTAAGAAAAAAAAAGGTACAGATTTCCTCCTCCTGTGATATGCTGCTTGTTTCTGAGACAGAGATCCCATTTCTGAGATGCAAACTGTCCCAGATGCCAAACCTCTGATAATAAAAAGTCCATTACATTGGAATTTTCACATTCATTCTTTCATTTGCTCCTTATAACTTGGGAGTCCTTTGAGGCAGGCAAGGCAGGAGTGATCATCCCCAATTTACAGATGAGAAAACTTAGAAGCCCAATCTTGTCCTTGTATAGCTTGCCTCTGTCCTGGTGCATTGCCTAAAACAAATCATTATCAAGATGTTAAGGCCAGTTCTAACCTCTCATTGTACCTTGGATTCTTCAGCTTTTTCTGCATAGATTGACATCTACATCTTGTTCTGTTCAGTTGCTCATAAGGAAGGCCACCACCATTGTCTTCCCTCAGTCATGACACCAGAGAAATGGGCCAAGAACCCAACATATAGTCGAATAGAGTGGGTAAAAATGTGGTCCTAAGAGTTAAAAAGTTCTAGTCAAAGGCCACAGTAAGACCAGAAAGAAAGGTAGGATTAGATTAACAATAACAGTGATTAAGTATATGTGTCAAGTTATTTTGGCCTACTGGAATAGCGGGGCTTTCATTCTTAAAGAATTGGCACTGATGGGGCAGCTAGGTGGTGCAGTGGATAGAGCACCAGCCCTGAAGTCAGGAGGACCTGAGTTCAAATCTGGCCTCAGACCAAACACTTGACAATTACTAGCTATGTGACCCTGGGCAAGTCACTTAACACCAATTGCCTAAAAATAAAAAAAAAAAAAAGAATTGGCATTTATGTGGACCCAGGACCTGCTATCATGATGTAATACCTAATACATGGCTCCAATTCTTAGATTTGGTTCTCTAAACTATGCCCTTCCCAACCCACCAGATCCTAGAAACAACAGAACCAATGGCTGACTGGCTAGCTGTATAACCATGGGCACTTTTCTTAACCTTTCTGTGATCCAGGCAACTCTGTTCCAGATAAGATGCTGGTCTGAACTGGTAGAGGGAATTTTCTCAAGGGAAGTTCCCTACACCAAAGAAATCACAGACCATATTTAAAAAAAGTCACATGAGGCTTGGAACCAATATATATAAGAAAAACATATGGTCATTTAGGAAAATTTAGTAACAGCATCCCTCTCTCCTAGGCCCTTTGAAAAGACTCTCTCTTTCAATAACTGTAATATCTTAAATTTATTATAATTTGGAATTTGCGGAGTGTTTTCCTTGTTTTTGGAGGCAATCGAGGTAAAGTGACTTTGGTAAGTATGTGAGGCTGGATTTGAATTCAGGTTCTCTATCCACTGTGCCACTTAGTTTCTCCTTATATGACTCCATTTCTGAAGCTAACAGCTGTAGGATTGAATTTCTAGATTATCACAGTCTTAGGTTTGGGGCTTTGGAGCTTCTAGGCATCTAGCACTGAGCATTCTAAAAATCCTTAGGGTTGTTAGAAAGGAGTTGTAATACCTGTTGTCTTCTTTGCACATACTTGGTATGTGTGCATTTTGGTCAGGATTTGTAGGTTGGATCTAAAATTCCCAACACAAAGAAATTAATTGATTTGGTAACCTCAACACAATTTATGCTTCAAAGTGGAATGCTGGTGGGCATGCTTCTAGCCCATATGATTCTCAGGTGCCAGGAGTGCCAGCCAAACCTGGGCAGCAGGGACCTGGCCCTGAGCTAGTAATAATGATAGACAAGTGTGTTCACGCCAATGTATCTCATGGAGGAGTCTGACTCCTTAGCAGGGCAGTGGAGGAGAAACTGCTAGATTACAGAAACACAGGCAAGCAGGTGTGCCATTATTGATATTGGGGAAGTAGTCCTAGAATCCAGTGGGATAAGCAAGAATGCAGCCTGGAAAATTAAGAGGTCTTAGTTACAAAGCAGCATAAAACCAGAAAAGAAAGGTGGGCCAAGATTTATAAGAATAATTGAGACAAATTACCTTTTCCTGGCTCGTGATCAACACTGAGTCCTTTTGACTGAACTAAAGATGAAAATAACAGGTATAAATGTAAATTCTGACTCGGCTTCAAAAAATCAACTGCACAAATATAGGCTGAGGGAGAGGTGGCAAAAGTGCAGTTTGTGTGTAAATGATCTGGAGTTTTAGTGGATTGCAAGCTCTGCATAAGTCAGTTATGTAAGGTGTCGGCTAAAAGAGAGAAGGAGATCATTGGTCTGTATAACTGAAACATAATATCCAGAACAGGGGAGATGCTAGTACCCGTTTCACAACTCCAGTGACATGCCTTTTTCTACCCTGTGGATCAACACTTTAAAGTTCTCCAAAGGCCAAAGTCTTCTTGGTTCAATGAAAGTCATCCATCTTTTCTTCCATGTGATAATGTCCCACAGCAGAGTACGAGGAAGGAGAGAGGGCTGCCAGACAATTCTCACCCTTTCTTACCTTGGTCAGACCATAAGCAGAGTATTGTGTTCAATTCTGAGCACCGTATTCAAGAAGGTCATTGAGAAATCAGAGCGCCTAGAGAGGTTGGTGACCAGGATGGCAAAGAAATTTGCAATATAAGGATAATTCGAAGGGACTTAGAGAAATTATAAAAGGGAATTTCTTCTTTGAGTAGGAATTGAACTCTGAACTTCCATGATGTTGTGAAATTATTTGGAATAAGGGAATGTTCTCAAGAAATTGTTTTATTAGAAGTTAACATATGACTTTTATACACAGATAACTGACTCTCAGGGAGGTATCTTGACACTAATATAGCAGCAATACGAACCACATTACAGTCTGTTCCTCCCTGGGGAAGAATGGGCAGGGTCTGTGTAGTTAAAGAAAAGATATATCCCTTCTTTCCCGTTCCTTCTGAAAGAAGATATAGTGATGCCTGAATAATTCTTCTAACACAGGAGTTGATATTGAATCTGGATGTTAGAGCTGGAGCACTAGTCCAACCCCTCATTTTGTAGTTGAGGAAACTGAGGCTTAGAGGTCAAGTGACTTACCCAATACTTACAAGGAGTTAGGAGCAGAGCTCAATCTAGGATATAGGTCACTGACTCATGTTCTAGTGCTTATTCCACTGAATCTTTGCGTCAAATAAAAATGGCACTTTAGTCATTAGTTCTAATCTCTCCCCCAGATAGGAAAGTACAGCAATCAAATTAGGTGGATGGAAACATTCTGCTCATGCCTTGGTGGAAGTCTAGTGAGCAATAATGTGGCAGAGGAAATGGCCAAAGGCTGAGAAGTGATTGATCTGTATGATTCACAAGCTGGCCAAACAGTCCTGGGTCAGATCCCAGCCTTAGGCCTTTCTGGACCTTCTTCTCCTACCCTTTTACAGAGGTGTAGAAACCCAAGGGATCAAAGTAAGGCTCTCTCAAGACCCCGTTTGGTAAGTATTGTAGGAGCAATGTGCATGCCTTCACTGCCTGAATTCTAGGAGAGCTTCAGTGTGGAAATCCCCAAGAGAGACTTCTATAGGCTCTCATTAGTGGAGTGGACAGAGGGAGCAGGAAGACAGTTGTACCCCAAGTTCCAGAAAAAAAAATGCAACTTGAAACCATGTAACTGGAAGCCTTGTTGGTAGATAGGATAGGGAAGGGAAGAAGGAGTGATCATACGTGGATAATCTACTGGCTTCCTAGTCAGGGATGGGGGAGAGAGAGAGAGAAAGAGGGAGTAGCAGTAAATGGGAGGAGTCAGAAAGGAAGATGGTAGGATATCTAGGGACTGGTCCTGAATCCTATTCATAGACTAATTAACTTATAGAACTTGAAAGAACCTTGGAGACAATTTAGTTGTCTGAACATGACTAATATAGAAATATGTTCAATATGATTGTACATGTATAGCCTATATCAGATTGTATGCTGTCTTGTTGAGGGGGGAGAGGACAGAGGGGGAAAATTCTAGAATTCAAAGGCATATAAAAGTGAATGTTGAAAACTAGAAATAAATAAATTAATTAAATTTTTAAAAATCTAGTTGAGGCCCAGAGTATTTAAATAATTTTCCTAAGGTCACACAATTAATAAGGCGTATCTGTCCTTTAAAAGACTAAATAGGCAATGGCATCTTCTCCCAAAAGAAAGGGAGCCTTTGACCCTGTCTTGTACCATTGTCCTACTGGCAAATTTCAAATTACAGGAATACTCAGAAAGCTCCTCTTCTCATAAACGTCTCCTCACTTACATTCTACAAAATGAAGATTCAGTTTGGTTAAGAAGCTCCTCTTTTAATATTCAATTCAATTAAAAAACACAAAGTACCTATTAGGTGCATTGTGTTCAATGTAGGGGATACAAAGCTAAAATTAGACACAGAGTCATTGCCTTCAAAGACTTTGCAGTTCAGTAAGGGGTCTTAAGTCATGCACATACAGAAATCTAATACAAACTAGTATATAAGTACATTGAGGTGATCCAGAGTCACCTAAGAATTGGAGAGAATGGGGATCCCTTCTGATAGAAGAGATCAGAGAAGGTGAGATCAGGGAGAAGATGGCACTTGAGCTTAGTCTTGAAAAAAGAAAAGAATATGACCAGGCAGAGTTGTGGGGAAGTCTATTTCTAGTTCTGGGGGATGCCCTGAGCCAATGGTTGGAAGTGAGAGAGGATAGGGCATCAGACCCTTGAATGTGTCATCTCACAGAGTTTCTGGTAATGAAC